AACCTCTGCCTTCTGGATTCAAGAGATTCTCCTGCTTCAGCCTCCCAAGTAGCTGGGATTACAGGCATGCGCCATCACGCCTGGTTAATTTTGTATTTTTAGTAGAGATGGGGTTTCTCCACGTTGGTCAGGCTGGTCTTGAAGTCCCGACCTCAGGTGATCCACCTGCTGCAGCCTCCCAAAGTGCTGGGATTACAGGCGTGAGCTACCGCGCCTGGCCAATAATTTTTTTTTTTTTTTAAGTTTCCACACATGGCCTTAAACAAGAACATTTTATATATGCAGTTACTCCTCTCAATTCATTTTATCATGGGCTGCTAGAATATCTTATTAGTTGATTTTAATAAAATTAACACATTATGGTTTTCAGCATGTATTATGAAATGTAACTGTCAGGCTAGGCGCGGAGGCTCATGCCTGTAATCCCAGCACTTTGGGAGGCCGAGGCAGGCAGATAGTGAGGTCAGGAGTTCAAGACCAGCCTGACCAACATGGTGAAATCCCGTCTCTACTAAAAATACAAAAATTATCCAGGTGTAATGGCACACGCCTGCAGTCCCAGCTATTCGGGAGGCTGAGGCAGGAGAGTCGCTTGAACCCTGGAGGCGGGGGTTGCAGTGAGCTGAGATCGCGCCACTACACTCCAGCCTGGGGAACAGAGCAAGACTTTGTCTAAAAAAAAACCAAAAAAAACCCAAAGAAATATAACTGTCATGTACCACTTACTAATGTTGCAAAATGCCTGCTCTGTGTGGATATAGTTATATAATAGGTATTTCAAGACATTTTTTTCTGACATAGTTTTATTGAATATTCATTTTCCTAGTGCTGTTATGGTTTTGCAGTTCAGAATTCCTGCTTCTTAATTATGTTTCCTGTGAGCCATTATAATATATTATGTTGTACTTTAACATATATCTGTACATAATGAGTATGCTTTAAATGTGTATAACTTATTTTTCTTCAACTGAGATAGCCATATGTTTTTGGCCAATTGGTTTGTGCTGTGAGGTCATGGTGGAGAAATAATCCTTTGATGGCTAACATAGGATTGCATAATGTGAGTATTTTGGTCATAGGTAGTTTGAAGCTAGGCTACCCCAATTTATTTTTTTATTTTTTAAGACATCTCAGTGGCTCTAAGGCTGTAGTGCAGTGGTACAATCATAGCTCACTGTAACCTTGAACTCTTGGGCTAAGACAATCCTCATGCCTCAGCCTTTTTTTTTTTTTTTTTTTTTTTTTT